GATGGGGATATATGAGATGGGTTGGTAGGTTTCATAAGGTAAAAAGTAGAATACACATATGCACCACTTTCGCTATGAAGTTCTTGCTTTTGGTTCGTTATTAACCAAATTTTTAAATATTTATTACAATAATATTTTTTATGTTAGTGTATATTCGATAAACAATATAAAATTTCTCTTATTAGTAAAGGTTTAAGTTTTAAATCAATTATATATAAAATTTATAGATTTATAAAAATAACTAATTACCATCAATGTATATATGTATTTTCCTAATACCAACATATGGCACACAACAATATGCAGGTCCGGTTCGGAGGATTCAAAAGCCTAGGACGGAGAGAATAAAAAAAGCCCTTAGGCCTTAACGTGTAATGAATTAAATTACATAAACTAATTCTTTTTATTAAAATAACGATAAACTTTATAGCAATAAACATAGCAAAATCATAGTATTTTAATGATTAATTATATATTGTAAGAGCTATCCGACGACCCGTGAAACTCTCCTAACATTCTTGATAATCAAATAACCTAATTTATGATAAACAATTTTACAAGTAACATAATCTAGTAACGATAATATGATAAAGTGGTATTTGATTCTTTAAATACTCATGATTTCTAAATTCAAACAATTATACAATAAACATAATTACATAAATACCTAATCTCATTCTCATAATTCAATTTCAGTTTCTAATAGTAATAATTTTTTCAATCATTCATTATAATCTAATTGAATCATATTTCAGAATAAAATTAAGATTTCATAATCTGATTAGTGATAATAAACTACTAAATTGATTTCTATGATTTTTGAATCCGAGAAATTGATAAGATTTCATTCACTCATGTTTAAACATTCTATTAAACTGATTTCTATAATGATAATAAACTATTAAACTGATAATCTATGAATCATTCAAGTATGAAATTGACAATTATAAACTTATAATCCTCAATTTTTCATAAATCGTAATCTATTAGACTAATAACTATTATAATATTACCTGATTAGTGATTTGCAGGACTGCAAGAGATCAGATAATTGTCTAATCGATCCTTGTTGTTACTGTCTTACTGATTGGTGATTGCTGAAAGTTAAGTTGATGTGGCTTCGTTGTTGTCGTGGTGTCGCCCTACCCTGCTCACCGATGGTTGCTTTTTTTTTTTTAATGATGATTTCTGGCTTCTTTTCGTCGAATGTTGATACTCGATGCCGCCTTGTGCAGTTGTGCCTTCTCCCGTACGTGATGCTAATGGTCCTGGACTGGTTTGCATTTGGATTAGGCCGAAAACTATATATACTATTTTAAAAAAATTGGGCCCCTGAAAATTATGAGCCCTGTTCCTATGCTCTTCTTTCCCTTGGTCTAAACCGGGCCTGACAATATGTCTCATATAACCAACCTTTATATTATTTTTAGTGAGTTTCATTTTCTTTTTATAATATATAGTACATGTGAGACCAACGTATTATACGAGTTGATTAAAAATAAGTTAAATATGAATTTGTAAACATTAAACATTTTGTAAAATAAAATTTTGAAATAAATACAAACAAAATTATGAATACATAATTAATTCAATCTATACTGATAGAAAAACTATTAACATATTTTAAATCGATGTAAATAACATTAATATTTTTTGAAAATGATAGATGAGTAGATGTTAATTTCGAATTTTGAAATCAAATGGATGTGTTTTATGAGCTAGAATATTTGAAACTATCAATGATTTTGTCCTTAGGATTAGGATTAGAATAAAAAAAGAAAAAACATGTTAATTGCAATTTATTATCACATTCATTACATTAATACATTATATATATAAATACGTATAAATAGAAGTATTATATGTGTTTTTATTTTTAAAAATTGAAAAATCAAAAATTGGCATATGAATAATATTTATTTTAAAAATACCATAAAATGATAAATATCAAAACTCACTAGAGATGGACATGTAACGGAAAACATCTTGATTTATTAGATATAAATTTTATTGGTTTTATTGTTGATATTGTTAAATTAACATGATGTATATGTTTGAAAGACTTTGAAACTGTAGTTATAATTGACTTCAAAATATACAAGGTGATTGTGATTTTTAGTTCGAGTTTTTTGATGAAAATTTTATTATGACCGCATAATATGTAATGTGATGACCGATTTATAATTTATCTAACATATTGAGATCAAACTTATAAAGTTTATATCATATTTGTCAAATATTGTCATCACACAATTTTTATTTTGTACAACTTTATATCACATTAAAAGCACTTTTCTTGACTAAAAAGTATATGTTAGACTGACATTCCGAACTGAAATTCCCGTTCCATAGAGGAAAAAAAATCAATTCCGGTATTCCGATAACAAGTTAAAAATCAGATGAATGGTTTCGTAAATTTTTAAAAATTTGTTTTATGCTTAACAAAATCTATCAAAAGTTGAAGAAATTAGACATCTCGGACGTGTCAAAACATGTAATATGTATTTTTTTTCATTTGCACCAAATACTTTTCAAAAAACTTTACCAATATCCAAATTGTCTTTTCAAAATGTTTAATATCATCCATTCTTTGATAACATGGCTCATGTAAAACCTTGGTATTGTATCTACTTCATGGTTGCTAGTTTTTAATTTTGTTAGATTTTAGTAAAAGAAGCATTTCCTTGGAATTCCGAAATTGCTCGTTTGATTTCAAATTTGTTTTTGAAATTCTTGTATCTTGTTATTTATTTATTTATTTTTCTTTTATGTATTGTATTTGGCTAAAAAAATGATTTTGATGTTATATAAAGTTAGTCTGGAATGTCACATTCTAGAAAAAAAAAACATTTTTTCAAAACACAAAAAACTTGGTCATTTTGATTGTTTATTTTTTTTAAGCAAAAAACAAACTTAGCATAATTCTATAATCATTTGCCAAAAAGGTAAAATAAAAAATTAAGAAATGACGCAAATATCCAATGAAATCGCAAGTGGCCGTTACGGCTACAATTTCATCAAAAATATAAAAAATAATTTCGATTTTTACATGAAAAAAACGAAAATTTATGTCATTTAATTGTGATTTCCTCTCCAAAATATCATCTTGGATTTTTTTTCTCATAAAGTGAAATTTTACAAATATTTAATACATAGTTTAATTATGCATTAGACACTTACACAATTTCACTTGAAAAGATAAAATCTCATATAAGATTTTGGATTTTGGAGGTAGAATCTTAGATGCCAGATGTCATTTGTATTTCGTTATACAAAAATGGCAAACTTTGAATAAAAAAAATACTTTTAACGAAATCTCAAACCATGAGCCCCATTTGTACGTGATTTCATTATTTGTTTCAACCTTTTTTTCTTACTATTTTTTAACAAATAATTAAAAAACTAGGCTAAATTTGTCTTGTTCTCTATTCATAGTGGTTCTTTTTACTGACATCCAAAATTTCCTTTACTCGCATGTGGCATGATTCATAAATTTTAAAAAACCCATGTTATTGCCTAAATTTTCAACCATTTTGACAATTTCACATGACATCAACCACTTCTTTATACTCATGTTGTTATTTATCCAAACGCCAAACCAATTCTTATATAGATGAAAAGTTACAAAAATTGTCAGTTTCCCTTTGAGATTGTTAAGTGTTTGTTTATGTCAAACACCATAATATTGTTGCTAAATGCTAAATAACTAAACTAAAAACCAGATTAACTAATTAAATGTGTTTGGTTAATTTAAAAGTTGTTCAACCTAGCTATGGCAAACCAGAACCATATATAAATTTAGGAGTACCATTTTCAATATGAAAAAACATATTACTTAGCATATTATATTTGTATTTTGAAACATCTAATTGATGATATGACATCTTTATGTCTTTTAATCAAATAAATAAATAAATAATGATGTTTGAGGATGTACCATTTTCATGCAAAAAACATATTACTTAGCATATTATATTTGAATTTCGAAATATCTAATTGATGAAATATTTATGTTTTTAATCAAAATATATTTTTTAATAATATTTGAGGATGTACCATTTTCATGAAAAAACATATTACTTATGGTTTTTAACAGATCGAATAAATCCAAAAATCCATCAACTCCTACCCATTGAGCTTATATAGTAGAATGTGTTTGGTGATCACCATAAAAGCGTTTGTAGTTCCTTTTCTTATACTGAGGATGACCAAATCTCTTTAATGCATTCTCTTGTGCTTTTCAGATTCTGTAAGACCAAAATGGAACAAAGCTTCCTCTTTCCAAAATCGAAATTATATATATTTGTAGTAAGAGGAAGCTTCGTGGAAGCTACCCCAAGTCCCCAACGTCCCCATCTTTTTTCTTTGTAAATCAGTAAAAGAGATCAACATATTTCATACCCTCCATCAATTTCTTATTTCAATAAAAGAGTTAGCAGCATCATATATACAAGTCAAGAAAATGACAGGTCAGAGAATGAAAACCTAGCTGGAAAAGAGAATTCAAACTTCACATTGATTTGATTAATTAGTAGTTATTTGTGTAAGTTTGTATGTTTGGTGCACGCCGGAATAATTCTTGAGGGACTAAGTGAGTAAATTGTGGAATCTGCAGGACTGGACGTGAGTGAATGCTTTGTGTACAGTTGTACCTTGTAGGCTGTAGCTATGTGTAGGCAAGGTGCATTAAAGAGTGACGTTCGGGGTATACAGATATACGTGTATAATCCCACATAGGAGACGTATTAGATCTCTTTAGTATGTATGCTATATTTACAGAAAATTTGCTGAGTTACCTTTTGTCATTCTCATCTTTTCTCAAGAGTTTTCACTCATCTTCTTCTTTAGTAGTTCTTATGTTTTAGGGTTTCTTGTAGACCTTTAAACGTATTTAACATTTTTGTGTTTATGTGAGATCATAATTTGTAGTGAGGATCTCATTGTGATCATTGTTTCTTCGTAATAAAGAGGTTATCATTTTTTACAATATTACTTCAAATATGAGCTCAGACGAAGAAAAGTATAACCAAACAATGATGTACAGTGGGATCTACTACATCTCATTAACATCATTGTTTTGCATTTTCCCCATTCTAGCCGACTTCTTCAATGGCTTCTGTGAAGGAAAATTTTGGTTTCCACCCAAGTATTTCTCTCTTAACGTAGTTTCCATCACTGCAATAAATGTCCTGATTGTGATGAAACTCCCTATGGGTTTTTATATTCAGGGCCAAGTAGCCAAGCTAGGAAGCATGGCGACTATGGCGTTCATGTCCACCATGGTGGCTAACATGCTCCCTTCTTTGGGATATATGGACAACAAGACACTTGTTGATACTGTCATAGGTTTTACTATTCCAATTATCCTCGTAATTGTGGATAGTTTTATGGAGTTTAATTATACAGGTGTTATTAGCCACGTGAATTTAGCATACACCCTCATCGCTATGCTACTCTTCTTACTAATAATTTTGATTTCTGCTGCGATAGCAACTCCTTCTCTTAAGCAGATTTTAGAGGCCCGGTATCAAGCCACTAGCCAAAGAGTGTCAAGAAATCAACGTCCAGAAGATAGATTCAATGTCGAGAAGCTGAGAGAATATGTGAAAATACATCTAATCTTGGCAGAAACTTGCGACCCTCAGTTTGCTTTGGCTAGTAGTCCATTATCCTCTACTTCTGGCTTAATTTGCTTACTTGTTTTACTCATCTACATACCTGTGGCTGCGTTAGTATTGATAAACAGATCATGAGAGAATGTCGGGATCTCGTTATAGATGGTGGCCAACCATTACAAGACAGTCTATTGGAGTTGTAGTGGGTTCCATTGCTCCGATATGTAGATATTTCACAGCCACTCGTTTGGAAATCTCTGATGTCTTTAAAGTAGAAGAGTATTGGACTCTAAAGTTGAGCGAGTGGAAAGAAAGTCGTATCTCTTTTGTATCAAATAGCCGATCAAGGAATGTTGTCTTTAAATTGAAAAACCACATTCTCAGTCTTTGGATTGGATTTCAGAAGGGAATTGTTGTAATGTGCCAAATAATAGGCATCATCCCCATCTACATAGTAGTTCTAATATGTGTCGCTTATTGTTATTTCATGTGATTATAGGAAGTTGGAAATTTGGTTCGTTGGATGTAGTCGTATGGTACTTGATGTGTATGTTCTAGCGGTTTTTAGAATCATGCTCAGTCTAAATTGAAACTGATCAAGTGAAAAAATGAATGAAAGATAACAAAATGAATGGTGATTTTTCTCCTTTAATTTTCGTTTAGAAAAGGTCTATATGACTATATGACTATATCAGTATCTATTTAGCACAAGGTTGCAACATGCCCGCATCATTGGATAACATGAGACTACAGAAATAACAAAGGGAAAATGACTTAAAAACCCAAGAAAGTTTCCAAACTATTCAAAAAGTCACGATCATCTTTTGTCTGTTCAAAAAAACCCAACGAAGTTAACTTTTTGTCTAACCAACAAAGTTCCAAACCATCCAAAAAATCCCAATTTTATTTTGTTTAAGTTCATTGGGTCTTTTTTGAACAGTCAAAACATGATTTGAGTTTTTTAAACGTTTTGGAAACTTTGTTGGTATAGCAAGTCATTTTCCCGATACGGTAATAAGTCACGTCATCTATTTTTCTTATTTGACTTTTAGGAAAGTGTAACTTAGTTGGGTTTTTAGACAAAATGTTAAATTCGTTGAATTTTTTTGGACTGACAAAACATGATTTGAGTTTTTTGAACAGTTTGGAAACTTCGTTGGCTTGTAAATCATTTTCCCAAATAACAAAACATAAGTAACATGTCGAAACTTGGGAATTTCACTATTAATCGATTGAACTTTAACCGTGTTATGGCCTATATCTCTGGGTTCTAGCGGAGAGCAACTAACTTCAATAAACATAGATAACTGGAAATTTTAATTAGCAGATCGGCTTTCGTGAATGAGGAAAAATCAAGCGTCCAAAATGGACTCACATTCTATTTTAGGAAAAGGAAGTAAGCTTTTCAAGTGAAAGTTGGACAAAACCAAAAGGATGGCATGTACTTACTCTTCAGTCTTTTTTTATTTATTTATTTATTTATTTTTTTTTTAAATCTTTCTTTTTGATCCCTCGGTAGATGCACAAAAGACAGTCTCCATGCTTGACACCTCATCCACCTCTATGGCGACTTTTGAAAATTATAAGACTGTATATTACTAGCTTTTCTTTTGTACTACCTTTGTTTATATCTTATTTAACCATTGCTTTCGCTTGAGACATGAACTCCATGGTACAAAAAATCAAAAACCATTTTCAGCTTTAAAATATGGGAACCATGCATGCTTTCATGCTTTTCTTTTGAATTCTCCATACTTTGTACGAAGATAGCCAATAAATGATAGTCACCTTACATACGTGCCATCCCATTAAATGCATTAATTATTTCATGAATCTCCTTTTCCATAAGATTGGAGGGAGTCATTTCTGCAACCATCCTGGTATTGCCTCGTTGGCTCGGTAAGCAACATGCTGCAACCTCGGCATGCTGAATGTCGAGCCCCAACTCGGTAGATTCTTGCCACACCCACCCTCTCTCCTCCATACAATTGATACCCGGTATTACCGCAAAAATTCAATGTTTTATCTACTTTTCAACTACCATAAATAAAACTTACAAAGAGCATTCTCTACCACTCTCAATTCCATTCCTCCGTCCCTCTCTCTCTCTCTCTCTCACACACACACACACACACACATATATATATATATATATATATATATATATATATATATATATATATATATATATATAGAGAGAGAGAGAGAGAGAAGATCAAATGAGAGCATAAAAAATGTTGACAATACGAGAACATTTATGAATCAATCATTTTACAATGGTATATTAGTATTTGTGTATTTAATTTAAATTATAACAAATTAAATTCAAATCTTAATCTCTAAAATTTTAGCAATATTAACTACTGTTACTTACATTACAATGATTATACCCTTTACCGGCGACAAGGGGCTTTAGCGGCGATTCTAGATATTGTCGCCGCTAAATCCCTTTGTCGCCGGTAAAGGGTTGGCACCCGGATCCGCACTTTCCCCCTCTGTTACATATGGGCCGTTCGATGAGATATCTAATCCAACGGGTGGGGTGTCTTATCGTATTTAACCTAATATCGGCGACATATTTGTCGCCGCTAAAGAGTTAAAATAGTCGCTGCTAATAGTTGACCAAAAAACACGCGGTACCCTTCCCTCCAGTTTGTCGCCACTATTGCTAAAAGTCGCCGATAAAGGTCTACTTGTCGCCGCTATTGCCTCTCGCAGATAAAAAAAACGCACGACGAACCCTCATTTCTCCATTTCCTTTCTGTTTGCTGCGCTTCTTTCCTTCCCTAATTCCAGCTTCATCCGATTTTGAGCCTCTATTTGCTTGTTCCAAGCAAATTTCTTCCCACATTGTGTCCTATTAAGAATCTAGGTATGGTTGAAGTTTTGGGACTAATTTCTAACTCCATTTCTTCAACAAAGGTAAGCTGATTTTTGTAGTTTCCTTTCCAATTTGTATGTTAATTTCGAGTTTTAGCTTCATCTAGTGATTGAATGGTAATAAAATTTTCATATATTTGTTTTTTGTGGTGTTGTTTTGGATTAGGTGTGGTTAAAGCTTTTAGGACCAATTTCTAACTCAAATTCTTCAACAAAGGTAAGTTCATTTGCTAATTTCACTTTTAATTTAAATATATGTGAATTTGTTGTATATATGCCAATGTATGTGTATTTGATGTATATGTGGTATATGAGTATTTGGTAAAAATGATATGTATTTGTTATAAGTAGGATGTTATTGTGTGTATATGAATGTATGTATGTTTATTGTAAATGTGGTATATGATTATGAAACTTTTGTATTTGGTATAAATAGGATGTTGTTATCTATATGTGAAATTATGTGTATTTGGTTTAAGTAGGATGTTATTTTGTGTGTATGTGTATGTATTTGTATTTGGTGTATATGTGGTATATGTATGTAAAAGTATGTGAATTTCATCCTCTTATGTATTATGTAAAAGTATGTGGTTTTGGTATAAGTAGGATGCTATAATTGAAAAAAAAAATATTGTTATAATTTGAAAAAAAAACAAAAAAAAATTTATAAAATTGTTTAAAAACTTATATATAAAAACTAGAAAGTTTCTAGTTTTTACCCAAGCTAACTCCAAATTAATTAACCAATAAGTTATATAGTTAACTTATAATCTTCAAATTAATTTATAAGGTTATATTTCTATAACCAATAATAATCGGTTACCATAAAAATAGGTTAAAGGATGCTATAATTGGAAAAAAAACACAAAAAAAATTATAAAATTGTTTAAAATCTTATATATATTTTAATCTCGACGGTAAAAAAGAACAACAGAACAACATAATATGTATGTAAAAGTATGTGAATTTCATATTCTTATGTATTATGTAAAATTATGTGGTTTTCTTATAAGTAGGATGCTATAATTGAATATCATTTCTAATAATTTTTAATTACATTTGTAGTTGAGGAACGTGTCCGAAGGAAAGTTCGCGGAAAAGCAAAAAATATAAACCTTGAAAAAACAATCTTACAGAACCAGGGGAAACCAATTGGCATGCAATATGATAGGGATATCACATTTAATCCCATAGGAGAGGCGGGAGACATGTTTTCTCTGGAAGTTGGAAAAACAATGTGGCAGATGGTCCCTTTTGACAAATGGAGTTGGAAAAGAGTTTCCCCTGATATAAAGGACACAGTATTACAACATTTAATGGTAATTATTTATTCAAATATATTTTATAGGTTTAACTATAATTGTTTTTTACTTGGTTAACTTTTTTTTTTTTTTGTAGACAAAGTTTGATCTCAATCAAATGTACCAGGATGCACAAGCTAATCTATTGACAGAGAGTTTTCAAGCAGCCTTGTTAAAAGGTTATCGAGAGCGTAAAGCCGACGCAAAAGAATATTTCAAGATAGTCGGAGGGTATAAAGATATCCCGAGAGCATTGGCCAATCCTCTTAATGGTATGCTTATTGATAACTGGGCGAAGACAATTGAGTATTTTCAAACTGACGAACACATAATTGCTTTAGAAAGGAGCAAAAAATCCGTTAAAAGCATACAAATGTGAATTGTGGGGGTTCGAGCTCGTATAACAGTACTTGCTATAAGAAGGTACCGTACGATACATGTAATTATTTATTTAAAATATAATCTAATATTTAAAGTTAAACAGAACCTTAAGAGAGTGGAAACATTTCGCAAAGCTCATACAGATAAGAATGGTGTATTTGTTACTGCTGAATCCGAACAACAACATGTAAGTATTTAATTATAATTTTATCATATATTTAAATGTTTATTTATACTTAATTGTTACTCGCTTTTGGGAGTTACAAAAGCGGTTAGTTGAAGAGCTGTTAAAACAAACTCAAGGTGAAAGTGAGTTAACGCCCGCTCAAGAAAGAGCTACGTTCGAGAAAGTATTAGGAGAGTGATGTGGCCACATTAGAGGCATTGGCCGCAAACCTTCTGGTCTCCCGACGATTCCACAGCCTTCGCAGCCATCATAACCACCATCACAACCATCACAGGTAAAATAGCAATCTACTTTAGCATCGTAAAATGCATGTTGATTTGTTAGTTTTGGTTTTGTGGTGATTATTTGCTAAAAAGTTTGGTAATTTGGTTTTTATCCCAAGTGCAAAA